TATGCTCCCTGGCCACTTTAATATTCACACCTGTAGAGCTGTATGCAATTCAATGCAGCTCTTCCGCCTTAATATCTGTGTCTATGAAGCTCAAAATGTTTGTTTTTGGTGAAATTGCCATATTTATAAATTCATTTTTATGTTTATCATTAAGGACATAGTTAAAGGTTGTGGTGTACTGGACTACGTTATATTTAGGTGTCTTCCCCAGCTACATATATGAGAGGGTCAGAATACTAGAAACACCTCTGGAAAGCAATTTGCTTTTGATGAAGAATATATGAAATCATTTGTACTGTAACTTGAGATTAGGTCAACCATTTTCTGTATTAATAGTATTTTAAACACTCCCCATACAGAGCCTAAAACCCACAGGGAATTGCCTCTACTCATGGTTAATGTCTTTCAGTCTCCAGCCTGGGTTAGCTAATTTGTCTGTACCTTAGACCACAGTTATTCAAAAACAATTAAAAAAAACACACCGCTGCACTGTGTGACATGTCTCTTCATTATGAAACACAAGAACTGCATATTTGTTAAAAAGGTTGCCCCAAAAGCTCCAAAGGACTATAACTTTTTACTGTGTATGCATGAGATCTCCCTTGCTTTATTTAGCCCATTAGCTGCTTTGCATTCATAGGTTTGTTTATATAGTGGGATTGTTGTTATTTGTCTTAATAAGAGTACCCACAATAGTGCATTTTTATTACTTGAACTACTAACAAGCTTTATATATGGTATGATGTTTCACTTTCTCCAGGTCCATGCAGAGTATTCCCGCTTCCTCAGTCAAATGAGCACAGTGATGCCATCACAACAAGGTACACAAGAACTGGTTGTATTTCTGTGGTTTGTATTTATCACTTGATTAGGCAGTTGTTTCTCCTCAGCTAACAGCTCTAACATTCTGTCAAACATATTGTACAAGTCATTGAGACCACCTGACTTAATCTGTGTCCCTCCTCTTCCTCCTCCAGGCTTTGCGCAGCCTCCAGTAGTGAATGGGATATCTCCTCAGCCTCCTTACTATCCCTCTGCTGGCTTCCAGTACCCCTTGCCTGTAGCCCCACCTCAGCCACAACCTGTTCCTCCACCTTACACTGTTCCCCCCCCAATACCTCCTGCAGCACCCACAGGTGTACCTCCTGTGTACCCCCTCCCTCCAGCCCCTGCTCCAGGCGCTATGTCACAGGTAGGACTGAGCCTTCACACCTCCCATTTCAAACACCTTTTTTGATGTTTTGAAGATGAAAGATCCATAAAGTGCATCTAGACTGTGTGTGTATACAGGTCTCTATAATTGTTTTTTCTTTCCTAATGCACATTACTTTTGCCTGTTTTCACATTACTTTCTTTCCTTTCTGTTCTCTCAGCCTTATTTTTTTTACTTGCCCATTGCTGCCTCACATAAGGACATGTACATGCACGTTGAGAGCTGCTGTGCCAGAGTCAAATTCCTCATGTGTCCAACACACCTGGCCAATAAAGCAGATTCTGAAATCTGCCTTTTTTTTCTAAATATAAATACTCGTATCTGTATATATATCTGTTACATAAAGCCCCAGGTGATAACTAGCTCCTCCCTTTTAACGCTCCCTCGTCCTTTCTTTTCTCCACCTTCTGGGCCCTAGTGTTTTTTGCCTTTTGTTTATGTCAAAACCTTTACTTGAAGCTCTGAGACAAGACATTTGGACCTCGGCTAAACCACCCACACTGCACATGAATCAATACTGACTGTATTTGTTACCTTCTCTCTGCAGACTCTTTCTCCTGTACCCTTTCCTCCATCAGCTGCAGCACCACCCAAAGCTCCACCCCCTGCCGCCCCAGCCAACCCACCACAGAAAAGACGTTTAACAGAAGCGGCGAGAGACAGCGGCCTACTTGGCTACCAGGTGATAACTAGCTCCTCCATTTTAATGCTCCCTCGTCCCCCCTTTTCTCCACCTTCTGGGCCCTAGTGTTTTTTGCCTTTTGTTTATGTCAAAACCTTTACTTGAATCTAGTTTGTGTCAAGTCAGTTTATACTTAGTACTTTGCAATAATGTTTATTAAGCTGCGTTCTTGCTTCACTGTCTGATTTATTAAACCTTTTATCCTTCCTTTCTTCCGATGTTTTATGCACATTGGTTGAAATAGATAATTCAGGTGGCCTGCTCATCTCTGTTGTTCACTTAAGTGTTTCTACTGGTAATATGGAGATTCAGAAAAAGGTATTATGTCTGATAAGCGTCTTTCATAGGGGACAGGGGAAATGTCAGTGTAATTACAGACTTATGGTAAGCTATAACTTACAATGACATTTTTTCCACTGTGGTGCTGGGATAGATATTATATTGTCAGGACAGGGTTTAGTAAAGAATGTCTGCTAATCGCACCTGTGTGTTTTTCTGCTCATAGCATGGACCCATTCATATGACTAATTTAGGTGCAGGCTTCCCAGTGGGCAGCCCCGAGACTGCAGGACCCCCACCACCGAGTTCCTCTGGCCCGCCGGGTGAGAGGGACAGGTACAGAGAAATTTTACATTAAATTACTTAAAGAAAAAATAATTATGTGCAATAGCGATGCAGAATCGGAAGGTTACCCCAAAAAAAAAGTTTGAATCAGCCCAGAAAATTGCACCTGGCACACACATTTTGAATGTGCAAGGGTCAGTAGGCACCTTTAGCTCACACTATTTTGCTTTTTGTTTTCCAGTAGGCAGCTAATGCCTCCACCGCCTATGCCTATGAATGGAGTGAGACCCAAGATGGAGGAGAGAAGGGCGCTGCAAGGCCCCGTGGGTAAGGTCATTCTCCTGTGGATTGACAAATCCCTGGCCAAATCCAAATCTGCAATCCCTGACTGTGGAGTGTGCCCCTTATAAGCTCAGCCCAGATCTCTTCACCGTCTTACTGTAGAGCTGCACAGAGTAAAATGTAAATAGTCTCCTCAGCCACTGGACTGTCTGGATGTCACTGGTTTTTACTTGAGATAGTTGAAGAAGTACAGTGGGTACAGAAAGTATTCAGACCCCCTTAAATTTTCCACTCTTTGTTATATTGCAGCCATATGCTAAAATCATTTAAGTTCATTTTTTTCCTCATTAATGTACACACAGCACCCCATATTGACAGAAAAACACAGAATTTTTGACATTTTTGCAGATTTGTTAAAAAAGAAAAACTGAAATATCACATGGTCATAAGTATTCAGACCCTTTGCTGTGACACTCATATATTTAACTTAGGTGCTGTCCATTTCTTCTGATCATCCCTGAGATGGTTCTACACCTTCATTTGAGTCCAGCTGTGTTTTATTATACTGATTGGACGTGATTAGGAAAGCCACACACCTGTCTATATAAGACCCTACAGCTCACAGTGCATGTCAGAGCAAATGAGAATCATGAGGTCAAAGGAACTGCCTGAAGAGCTCAGAGACAGAATTGTGGCAAGGTACAGATCTGGCCAAGGTTACAAAAAAAAATTTCTGCTGCACTTAAGGTTCCTAAGAGCATAGTGGCCTCCATAATCCTTAAATGGAAGACGTTTGGGACGACCAGAACCCCTTCAGTTTTTCTTTTTTAATAAATCTGCAAAAATGTCAAATTCAGTGTTTTTCTGTCAATATGGGGTGCTGTGTGTACATTAATGAGGAAAAAATGAACAAATGATTTTAGCATATGGCTGCAATATAACAAAGAGTGAAAAATTTAAGGAGGTCTGAATACTTTCTGTACCCACTGTATATCTGTTACATAAAGCCCCAGAAGATGTATGTAGGCATATACACCTACAGTTGGCCCAAAAAGACTTCCTTTTTGGTTCGAATAATGAATATCCCTGTTTTTGTAGAAGATAAATGCAGCATTACAAACACTTGGTCTTAAACTGGCCCTTATGCTTCTTACAGGATTCTGCTGCTGTGACTAGCAATCTCCAGATAGTGAGGCGGAGCTATGCCTTCTTTTGTGCATTGTTGAGTCGTTTGTAATGAAGTCCGATCAGTCGCCTCCACCTTACCGTCCTGTTCTGATGACATCATCAGTCTGGAGTGTCTGTAGTTCATTTTTTTCCTCACTAACGAGAATCTCTTGTTTTTGTGTTTTTTCTCTTTTTCTGTGTTTTTCTTCTCTTCCATGTATCTCTGGGGCGATGCTGGATACTGATTGGGGGTGGGGCATGACTTGTCCTGTGACGCTGTCCTGCCCCTCGATTGGATGGCCATAACGCTGTTGCTCCCCACCAACCAATGGCTGCTTGAATGGCTGCCCCCTCCTCTACTCTGCTGAGAAATTTAAATCTATTAACTGTTTGTTTCTCCCATGTGTGTTTGGAATAATGTCTTATTTGAAATGTTGCTACTGCTGTTGTGCGTTTTTTCCCCTCTCTCCAAATGTTTCTCCCATCCTACTCCAACTGTACCACCTCTCCCTTCTTTCTTGTGCTTGTTCTCCCCATTCTTCTTTCAGAGCCCACAGTGAAAAGATTGAAGACAGGTTTGGTGGCATACACCGGTGACTCTTCTGACGAAGAGGAAGACCACTCCACTTCCAAAGCTTTGGGGCCAGGTAACCCTGGGACCATTCCCCCCACCTCCTCAGGCTGGACACAGGGCTACCGCTGCCCCCCTACTCCACCCCCTCGTCCTAAAACACAGCCCCAGCAGCAATTGATGCCTTTCTGGATGGCACCCTAAACCAAGGAACATAAATCACATCGGTGCTCTGTCCTTAGCCTGACAGGATGTTCTCTGAGCCCATCTTTTTTCCAGTACTCATCACATGGATGATTCTTAACAGCTTGTGTTGGTCTTAGCTCATCACACATCACATGGATAATTCTTAACAGCTTGTGTTGGTCTTAGCATTATTTTAGTACTTCAATCCAAATCAACATACTAATGTTGTGGAAACTTCTTTTTTCTGAGCAGACTGATACTCCAAATTATTTTGTGGATGATAGGCAGATACTCTGCCTCAGTTTTATTTTTAATGGAATGATAACCTATCCTAGGTGAAGTGTTTGAACAGTGTTCTTGTAGAAGCAGTATCAACATGACAATGATGGTGTATGTCATTCAATCACTGAGAATTTTTGCCTTTTCTTTTTTTGGAGCTAGTGATATGTCCCTTTCCTATTCTGGTCTTTTTGGACAGATCATTAAACATGTATGGAAACATACTGAATAAACTTAATTTATTGATACATTTGAGGTTGTGTTTTCCCTGCAAAATTGTCCTGTCACATTTGCTGAAGAAATCAGTAGCTAAATCACTGTCACAACTCCCAATTAATTCCTAACACTTTTGCCTGTCAAAATACAGAGTGGATTAAGTGATCCTGCTACGGAATTTACGTTACAAAAACAGACAACTTATCCACACACAAAACTTAAACTGCCTGTTTTGCAATGTTTAAACTTGAAAGTAGCTGTGCACTGTAGAAGAATAAAATTTATTTTAAAATGTTCAAAAAGTAATGTAGTAATACTGTATTGAAAGACAATTCTGAAAAAGAGTCAGTTTCTGGCTCTCGGAGGGTTTGCGTCATTATGCTGGGCTGTGCATATCCATTACTGGTCAGAAGTAGTGAATTAGTCCCTGCAGATTAAAAATAACAAAACTGCCTGTTAAGATTGAAACTATTTGTTTGTGTAACCTCAGGCACTGTTTTATGTTGGGCTTCAAATTTTAAGGTGGTTAATAAGAATAAAAAAAAAAATAAAAAAAGTCTCCTGTACAGGCCAGGCAGCTCCACCCACGAGGCCATAGATGGTGTGTCCCCTCTCCTCAATCTCTGAAAACAGCTCCTTGTCCTCCAACAAACCTCCATATCCTCTTGTCGATCCTGAGGAAAAAGCTGCAGAGAGGTGCATACAACAAAAGGACTTGTTAAAATCAGAGTACCCTTAAACCTGTAGCCAAGTTTTCATTCAACTTACAGACTGAAATGAGTGGTCTCTTTAGGATGTCCCCATCCATAGGACACGAGGGGTCACTGAACAGTTTGATAAGAACAAAAACAATGTGAATCATTTGTTGTGGCCTTCACAGTCAGCAGATGTCAGCCCAGCTGAACACCTACAGGAGATTTTATATTGGTGTTATACAGCGTCTCCACCACCATAGTTCAGACTTTTAGAATCGATACCAAAGTGCACTGAAACTGTTCTGGTGGCCCAACACTTTACTAAAACACTATGTTAGGTTTTTCCTGTCACTTGTCTGTAGGTCATCTGCTGGTCAACACCTAAGTGAAAATTAATGAGTAATTTTCCTTTGATAGTTCCAAAATTTTACTTAGCACACTTGTCAAATGTGTTTTCTTTACCTAAAAAGCATACTTCTCCCACTATAGTGTCCAGAGAATCTGATGTTTTGGGACATATGAAGTTAATATGAGAGCGTTAAAAGTTCAATTTGTCCATTCTGCAGTTCCTTACCCTCTCTGCAGGGGGTGCTCTGCCCACAGTTTTCATATTTGTAGAACTCAAACATGCAAGATGCTCAGATAATAGTCTGCAGCAAAAATACATTTCAGACACACTGTTACTGAAGGTGCAGTGTATTTTGTTACAATATTCAAGGAACCATTTACCAATTTATCCATGACTATGACAGCAGCAGTGCCCAGAGCAGCCTCTGCATGGACCAGTTCATCAAAATCCATCATTTACAAGCGCCAAGGGACAATGGGAGTGAAGACCTCCCTGCCCCCGGGATCACTCCTAATAGACTGTCCCAGCTGTCCCACACTCTCCTGTGCCAATGATACAAGAGAAGTCTTGTCAACATCTCAAAGTAAACCAACATCAACACAGACGTGGACTGTAAACACACACCTGCGTGTCTCTCTGTTGGCTCTCCCAGAGAAACAGACATCTCTTCACTGTGCATGGTGTATTCATGTGGCCGGAGATGATGAACAGCTTCATTCCAGAGTTTCTCTCCCTCCCAAAACTGACGAACCAGGCTCCACCTCGACAACAGACTGCAGGCGCCACAGCAACCGTCTCCATGTTGGAAACGGTCATCCAAGCACTGCTTAAGGCAAAGAGATCCAGCAGCAAATAACAACAGCCATATGGACTGTTATTACAATACAACAGTATTTTGCACTGTAGGAACCAAATGTAGAAGATTGTCAATCTTTAACTCACCTATGTCTGTGAGAAATGGCAGCTTGAGTCAGGTTTCTCTCGTATGCCCTCAAGAGACTCAATGAGGGCCATCTTCTCCCCGCAGATGTGGGCTCCGGCTCCTCGCATTACAAACACATCAAAGTCATACCCTGAGTGACAGGCGTTCTGCCCAACGAACCCTGCTTTGTATGCTTCATTAATAGCCACCTGTTTGCAGAGAAGACAAAAACAAATCATCACCAACGACACATAAAACACCACCAACTGCAAGCCATCCTTCTAGAGCCTACATCAGTGTACCTGTAGATTTGGTGACTCATTGTAAAACTCCCCTCAGATGTAGATGTATGCAGTATGAGCACCTATGGCTCTTCCAGCCAACCCACAGCCCTGTGTCAGCTTATGTGGGTCATGGTGCATTATCTCTTGGCCTTTACACATCCCGGGCTCCCGCTCATCAGCATTCACTACCTGGTACTTAGGTCAAAACACACTTAATTTAAGTGGGGAAGCCTGCTCCTCTTTTCCCCCGCAGCCCTGAGATTTTCACCTCATTCAGAATTTGGTCTGGACCCTTCAGTATGATACCTGTACCTGTCGGCTCCTTTTAGCGCTCCCTTGAGTCTGGTAGGAAGAGGGAGACAGAGACGATGAGATGAACAAGTATTTTACTGAGTTTCAGGTAATTAGAGAACAGGTAGAAAGATGTTGCATTAGTCTGTTTTTTTACCTCCAGTCATGCCACCCATATCATTTAGTAAATATTTGGTTTTGATTGTGATGACTGTAATGTTCACATTCCAGATATATTGTAATCCATGCCAGTATTTCATTTTTTGTACTTTAAATCTGGAACTGTAGTTGTAATAAAATTGAATGTGAATTTTAGATGAAGTTATATTTCATTATTTAATATGCTGGATGTTAAAAAAACGTTTCATTTCCAGTGGTTTGAAAATTATGTAAACAGATTTTTTTTGGCAAAACATGGCCAATGCTGAGCAATTAATGATGGGAAAGACCTGAACATGCTGAATCTGAAAACTGTATTCTCAAATCAATCTGTGTAGTGTGACACAGTATTAGAAACCACTTTAAAAGTACACGTTACATTATTGAAATGAGGAAATAATTGCAATATTCTGGAATGCTATGAAAATACAGCAATGCATTTTATGCAATTTCTGTTAATGACACCGATTAAATACTGTTAGGGTTAAAGACCTACTATTTGTCTGTCCTAGAACCCATAAATCATAAATCATAGTCGAAAAGCTACTAATAATATGCGATAGCAAGATATTTTAAGACCAAAGACAAGTTGGTCCAAAATAGAGGAATTAAAAATGTCACCGCCTTAGATAAATCTGTCTTCTCGGAAGATGTGGTTCTGGGGATGACCCTCGTTACTCGCTGCTCATCAGAAATCTCAGGTGTCTGTACCTGAAGCACCAGGCTGACGTTGCAGCGTGTGCTGCTGTGTGAATGCGGTCGTACCTGTGACCTGTGCGGCGCTGTAGGTCAGACGCGGAGCCCCGCGGCGTCCTGGCTCAGGGCCAACCTCCTTCAACGGACCGGGTTGTACTCCAAAGCCTCTTCCCTCCAGAGTCTCCGTGTAACTTCTCGTACAACCACATCCATTTGCAAACAGTCCTGCTGCGTTACTTCAATTAAACTGAGAGCATCAACGAACTACGTCACTTCCTACCCCAGATGCCCACGCGATGCCAACAGGTGTCCAGTCTCTTACACACGTGCATAATTAAGGACATCATTAAGGGCCTGAGTTACAGGACTCAAATACAAACTAAATCAATAACAGAAACATTAATGATGAGCTTAGATATCTTTAATTTTTTTTACATTGTCTGAACCAAATGATGGGAAAATGAATCCATTATCTCTGAGAAAGTTCCACTAAAAACTGAAAGACAAAAGTGTATCCCTGATAGTGGGGTCTCTATTCATACCAGACCCCATGTCCCTTCACCGAAGCCAAGAAAACAAACAGCTCACATAGAAACACACATTTCACAGCTGGCATCAGTTAACCCTCATTCATTCACAAAGCTCTGACTGGGAGCACCAACACCCTTCATGAACAGGATCAGCTGTCACGTTGCCATTCCAGCCTGGTTCCAGTAAGGCCAGCAGTTCCCTTCCACTATTATTATCTCTCCCCCCCCTTTTTTTTTTTATACCTCACAATAAGTAATGAATTATTTTGTTTTTTAAACATCATGGAATGTAACATAAAACTGTCAGAATCTCTTATTTTGAAAATACTGACCTTACACTTACATGAAGAGTGTCAGTGGTCCTACAGCACCAAAACATTTCTTCCCATTTTATATTTTGTATAATCACTTAGTGCATTGCTCAAGATTTCCTGAGAATAGTTGCAGCACAAAAATAAAGAACACAACCTAAGGCAACTTCATCCCAATATATTATAATATATAACACAGGAGGAAGAGTATTCAATATATGTAGGTTTTAAAGAAGTATCATCTATTTCAATCACAATCTTAAATGGTACCGAGTTCATTGACTAGATATTGCAGGTCAGACGGACAAATCAAACCGAAAAAAAAAAAAAAAAAAAAAAAAAAGCTTGAAGCTCTCAAATCTCATAGTGCAAATTAACTGGAAGTAAAAAATAATTTACTATAAAAAGGTTGATAGCAGATAGTGCACACAAGGCCGGGCCAGCACGACTGCTACAGCAGGTTCTGACTGCATAGTTTGAAAGAAGTGGAAATAAAAAAAAGACAACTGCAGTCATTTAAAGCCATTAATGTATTAAACCCTGCAACAGGCCTTAATGTGCTGGTCTGGGGAAAGCACAATGAAACTAAAAAGCTATAAGAAAGATAAACTCCAAAAGATAATGGCCCCTTTAGACATATTGGTGGCCGATCTATAAGAACTGCCATGCATTAATGTGATAAAGTACTATATGAAGTTGAATTAACAATAGAAATGCATGCTGAAAATGTCAGACGGCAAAGTCATTTTGTGTTCCAGTTAAAGTGAAGGTTTTAACCACCCCTGATTTCTTCTTTGCTCTGTTCCCTTCTCACTACCCCAGAGGATGGAATGTGCCTGTGTTATTGCAGTACCTGACGGGGTTAAATGTGCAAAGAATGCATTCGAAGAAGAATTGTCAAAAGAAGACACGCAGCCCATAAAAAGGCATTTAAGTATATGGAGATGTTGAGCCAAAATCTTTAGCGCAGTGCATCTTTTTGTAAGACGCAGACGAGAAGTGGAACGTGATCTGTATCCAATGCTGAATTTGGTCTCAGCAGAAGAGCCATAATAAATAATAATAAATAAATAAATATAGGAAAAAAGGGACAAGACATCTCATTCATCCCCTCACCTTGTCCCTTTCTTTCTTTCTTTTTCTTTAAACAAGGAACCCGAATAAATGTAATGGAAGACTGAAATCCACAGACGTTGGGAAAAGAAGACCTGTCTTCAACATTAATCAGCATCAACTCACTGACCCAGAAACACTCAAATGTGGACGCAGATTCTTTCTCATGGCTATCAGAACAGTTGGGAAAAGAATCTTCTCTTAAAACCCAACATTGGCTACAATTCACTTCTCTCCTCTCCTGTTAACTTAAGATTTAAGAAAAAAGTTGAACTAAAATCTTTGGTTTAAGCACCAAGTCAAAGCAAAGACACTACCACTAACAAGACATGATACAAAGAACATTATTGCTTGGAATGCACAGAACAAGTTTGATTAATTAGACAACATTTCCACTGATGATCACCAGTGGGCACACAAACTCATACTTGTGATCTTGGTGATATGACTTCTGAATTGCACCTGAATCAAATACGTTATGTTGTAGCTAAAATATACATCTTCAAACATGCCTCAGCTCTAGATTTTAGTTTGCATAGTGAAAAGCATCCCAGTAACCACACACTCAGCACACGCATGTCCAGCTAGAAAAATCAAATCAAATCATAAAGAAACAGCTCAAAGCTAAAATTCATAAAGTTAAACAGCAATGAGAAATAAAATTTTGAAAAAATATAAAGAAATCAAATGCTAAGAGCCAGAAGACAAACCTTAAAAATATCTCAGAAAACCCGTTTTTTTTCTTTTATTATCATTTAGATTTTTTTAAGTGCTCTCTATGGGAGCAGCAGGTCAACAGTCCAGCCACCTGAGTGATATTCTTTTTACTGTGGATGCTTTACCACACAGACACACACACTTGTATATATGTATGTGTGTGTGTGTATGTGTGTGTGTGTACATATATATATATATATACACACATACAAACACACACTCTCGCTCTCTAATGGTCTTCTAATTCTTCTTCTTCTGCTTCGTCATCTATAATTTCCTCTTCGTCTCCCCACTGGTCACGCTGCGCAGCTGGCGATTGTGTTCCTCCTGGATCCTCTCCCTTCGCCTCTCTGGCCCCTCGCATCTCCAGCCCTCGCAGGAAGAGCTCAGGGTAGCCAACCAGCCTGTGAGGCCTGAGCTGGGCCAGAGCATGCAAGGCGAGAGACCGCTCCCTCTCAACACTTGGAAACATCAGGGGAGGGTGGGCAGCAGACCCATTCCCACCATCCAGCACCTGGCTGCTGAGGAATGGCAAGGAGTGGGCCGGTAAGGACAAAGCCTCCAGAGGGTTGGACTGCTCCCTCCTGCCTGCATCCTCTCTCACATCTTCCATGAGCTCTGGCCCACGCCTGGGCCGGCGTGTGCGCAGCTCAAGGCAGCTGTGCCCCTTGCGGTGACGCTGGAGGTGGTCCTCTCGAGCGAAGGCCTTGTGGCAGAGTGGGCATTCGAAAGGCCGCGCTCCACTGTGCAGGGACAGGTGGTTTTTGAGGTCGTATGAGTGGAGAAACCGGGCGGGGCAGTGGGGGCACGGGTAAGGGCGCTCGCCTGTGTGTTTCCGCATGTGGATCTTCAACTTGTCGTTCCTGGAAAAGACAGAGAAGGGAATATGAATATAAAAAGCCAGGAGGAAAAAAAACAAGAGGAGAAAAACATGATAGAACAATTAAAAATCAGGTCACAATGTATCAAACTATTTTGTTTTGTACATATTTAAAGATACTTCTGTACCGGGTGAAGCGAACTCCACAGGTAGTGCACTGGAAGGGCTTTTCTCCCGTGTGTGTCCTCATGTGTCGTGGTAGTTTTCCTGCTCCATGGATGATCTTTTGACAGACAGGGCACTGCTGGGGGGTCTGAGACTTCCTCTTCCTTCCTCCTCCCACTGTTGGTGCCGCTATTCCTCGTTCCACTGCAGAGGTAGGTATGACGGTGTTTCTCATCAGCAAACTATCATCGCCAAAACCCTCCATCTCATCGTCCTCTGACAATTTGTCAATCAAGACCGGGACAGGAGGTGGCTGGGCTATACGGGGATGCTCATGAAATAGCCTTCCATTTAGTGTGGCTCCTCTCCCAGGCTCCCTGATCCCCCTGGGATCTCCGCTCCGTCCACGTTTGAGGCAAAGCTCCTCCTGTACAGGGCTGGGAGGCTGGGTAGACGGCAGTGAGTGGAGGCCGTCAGATGCAGGTGAAGAGTGCGAGATGGGAGAAGCAGGCGGTGGGTTCAGAACCAAGGAGTTGCCATGGTGCAGCCCAACTTTTTTTACCTTCTTTTTGTCCGTTTTTCTTCGAGACCCTTTCACTACCCCACTCTCCCCCTCTACCATCCTCTCAGTACTCAGGTGTTGGGCTCTCTGCTCCTCTGCTTTCTCCCCCTCTGCCTCTTCTGTCTCCCCCAGGATGTCCCTGCATGCATCAGCCACACACTGGATGCCCAGAAGCTGAGCTCCTCGCAGCACATCTCTCATCCCAGAGCTAGGGATGGTCAGGGTGGCAGTGTAGGCAAACTCCAGCAGGGCGTCCAGAGCATCGGGAGCCACACAGTCCAGCTGGCAAACACTGAAACCTCCTCCACCCTCACCAAGCCCCTCCTCTGCCCCAAACAGCCGCCGGAAATAGACACTAACGGCGGCCATGACGGAGCGGTGAGTTGGATAGCGTGCCCCGTGGGATGTCAGGGTAAGGTCACACAGGAGCCCCGTCCTCCTCTGGTTATTGAGGTGGGACAAGAGCTCATTACTGTGCTCCGGGAAGGGGATCCCAATCAGACCGTCCTCTCCTGGAGTCATTGCCACCTGCATGAGAGAAGGGGAAGATCATGTCAGTGGAGGAACTGAGGCCTGAGCAAGTTACAGTTTGGTACCTGAATCAAGTCAAAATCTACTTCTGGTATGAATCAAATCAGTTTTATTTTCTAAAAAATTATTATTAATATCATTATTAGATCTTATCAGTTTCTAAGAATGAGAGATTACCCGTCATCTCTTTCACATACCAAAAATAAATCTTCAGTAGGGCGACTGATTTAAGAACTTCTCTTTCACTTGAGGGACAATTTAAACCAGGCTTAGCAACAATTCTCTCCCCCCACCACCCCCTCCTTTCCCCTGCTTTCTTTCCAGATTACTAAATCAGGAGTTGCCAATTTCGGCCAGTGAGATTAGGGTTGGGGCAGCAGAGGAAGATGTGGTGGAGATGCTGGAGCTAGCAGGAGAGGCAAAATATAAAAGCAAGAAAAAGAAAAAAAAATTGGAGCAGAGATGTAAAACCCAAATGACTGGTAATGCTGATGTGAAAAGGATGTAAGGTTATGCAATATACTGTAGGTGTTGTAACCACGAGTGCAGTAGGTTAATTCCTGTGTGAAACCTTTATATCATTAGCTGTTTAATTAAAATACTTGGACAATAAAAGAGGGGCCAACAGAAGAGGAAGAGACGAAAGAAAAGCAAGCAAGGGAGGAGGAGGAAGTGACAGGTTATAGTGGGTGAAAGGGGGGAGTACCAGTGAAAGAATGAGGAAGGGGAAAAACAGCAAGAGAAGAATTACAAGCTTTATGATTTTAATAAATGTCCATCACTCGCAAACCTTTAAAAAAATTGCATGTGCAGCACAATCAAGCCTTTTATAAATTTACTTTAGCTCAATGTTTATCATCACAGAGGTACCAGTTGGGTTTAAGTCAAAATGTTGTAAAGCAAGTCATATCAGGACAATAACTTTATTTCTCCTTGTGAGCCTGTTGGTAATAAGACCCAACAGCTCCCTTCTTTGGCTCCCTGAGC